TGGATTTTTCCTTTTCTATAACCACTTCATTTACTAAATTGGTATAAATGAGAATGCATAACTTTAATAATGCAAGAAATACCATTATGATGTTTCTATTAAAACTCAATAAATATATATGGCTTATCAAAATAAATAATTTACCAGCTCTTACATTTAATGTATTTAACACTCTCCTTACATCTTTCAAACATTTCTCACAATTGTCTTACTACTGAAAAGATATAATGGGAAAACTTTACGACAGGACTACATCCGTCAGAGAGTAGCGGCTGGTTTGTTAAAATTGTGCAAGGCCCAACCCGAAGAATATTTGTATACTTGACATGCATAAATAAAGAAATAAATGCAAATTTATCAGTCTAGACATGCATATCAACCGGGCAAAATGATAGTTCAATGTATATCTATCAGATATTTAGACATTCATTTATTTCTGCATATATGTAAGTCTATTTATGAAAATTCATTGGGTCTGGCCTCGCACAATTTTAACAAACCGGCCGTGGTGTAAAACTAATAATGAATACATGAAGCCCATCCTGAATATACAATAAACAAAAAAGATTGCAGAAAGTCCACTCAGTGCTCCCGAGTTTCAGCTCCATCTTGCCATGCATGATGAGGTAAAGACTGTTTGCCTGAAGGGCACACCCAGTTGTGGCAATTTAAGATTGCTGAAGAAAGTTTGTAACATGGAGTCAGGAACTTAATCTATAGTGAGAGCACCTGTACTGTACAGAATTACCCCATATTTCAGTATCTACTGTATACTTGCACTCTGTAAACATCATACATGCCTTCCAAAAATGCTTGTTAGAGGCATACTATATGAATAAACTTTCATGCAGTTTGTTACACCATATAGAATGAGAATATATAATTTTATTTAAGATATAGCATGCACTGAACTCTTACATTCTCCCTGAAATAATTGCAATTACTGTCAATGCCTTTCCTAAAAACATTCAAGGTGAGAGTAGTTATCTACCAAAAGATAAATGTTTTTTGGTCATTCTTTCCAATATAGGCAGACTCACCAGAGATTTAGTTCTCAACTGCACATCACAAACCCTATTCAACAGTATGAGTTGCCGGGGCTGGGTTATCCCAACTGCTGACTGGAGAGATGTTGGCTAACACTGCCAAGCAAGCAATGTCTTCAGCTCATGCTTGTAGGTTATTTCTTGAACCAACAGCTACAACATTTAGTCTACTACAAGAATATCATCCTCAATTTGATGTAGCTTTGCAAGTTTATACCGTAAACATTAACCTGTTTTTCTGTTTGTTTTTATTTCTTTTATAGTACAATGACCTCTTGAAACCTGCATCCAAACATGGAAAGAAAAATAGAAAACCTGATGTCCACCATTACATTGATGCATTTTGGAGAATCCACAAGCCAACAATAACAACTGAAGTACATCAAATCCACAGAACAATATACATTTTTGCAAAATTAGTTTGGCATTTGTTAGCAACAGTGCCAGTCTCTCCATTTCTTCTGCTCTATAAGTTGGCTGTATCCATTTCCCTCTATCTCTGCGCATAGGTCTTGGCAACATTAACCATTGGTTCTACAATTTCAAATTCTGTTTGAACAAGTCTGTCCAAATCTGTAAAAGAGCAATTTCTAAACCTTAGACCTAATGTAGCATAAATCTTAACAAGTCATCTACAGTTTACTAAATGTTTCTTTAAACTGTTAAAATTCAAAACTTAAAATCAACCTAGGCTAACCACCAAAAAACACATGGCATTTCATTATTCCTCCTTAATGTGAAATCTTTCTCAATGCATAGACAATTATTACAAACCTTATACTCTAAAGTTATTTAAATGTCAATGACCAACAAAAAATGAAGGAATAGACTGCAAGTTGTTGCTTTGTGCATTATTTGGACACCTGTACACATTTTCCACCCTTATAAGGACAGGAGCATAAATAATCCTACACAACCACCTGAACCACAACTGAATTAAGGACAGAGACATACTTTGCACAAAATCAATAGAGAAAAAATGCAAATACACAAAATTTTAAGGAGTGGCCATATGAAGGAGTCGAGCAACGGCTCAAGATCTTCACTCAATTCAAACTTTGAACTCTTGCTAATGGGATTAAAAAGTATCCTTCAGCAATGCCCGAATCCACCAAACGCATTTCCTCACATACTTATTCCACTCTTCACAACATACCATGTTAATCGCTGTTTTACCGGAACGCTTGAATAAAGCAAGAAAAAGACTGATTGGTGTAGAGCAATCCGTTCAAGCGAGTGTCACAGACCAGACTGAAGAGGTTTCTCGGGCGGGAAGACCTAGGTGTTCCCGCGCGAACCTCTGCTGGGGTCTTTTTAAAAGAGTTTTCTCTACTCTGATTATATTGCGGCGTTTGAGTGGATCTCGAGGACTGTATTTATGAGGTATAAGGAGGCTTCTAGTGTACGGTTATTCACAGAAGGGAGGATTGTAGGAGGACGAACTGACCTTGTCA